CAAATAGTTCTCTGCTGAGTTAATGTGTTAAATCAACTAATACAAAAGTTGAGGGAAGATTGTGTTGGAGCAGGGGAGAAGATGGCCAGTAGGTCAGAAGCAGGGCCAATACAGAGGAATAGAGAGCAAGGAAGGGTACAGCAGCAAAAAAAGGGAAAAGGCAGTTAAGACTTCGCTTTTCTAGTAGCAGTCACTCAGGAAAACACAGCCAGAGGCTGTGTTTTGAAATTGCAGTATGTATAGCATCAAACAAACATGTTGCCATTCCCTCCACCCCTTCCACTCACTCCCTGCAGCTCTTCTTGCCCAACACTGTGGCCTGCTGCCCCACAGTCATGTCAGCGTGGAAGTTCATGTGGCCTCCCTGTAAGCCAGATCAAGGAATTGATCCAGCTAAAAAACAATCCAGCAAAACAAAACATTTGTTTCTTCATCAGCTAAAACAGTCAGCCAATCCAGTGCTGAGCACAGCTGTGCAAACAATTGTGCTGGCACAGTAAAGGTCCTGGAGCTGAGGCACAGTGTTGAATGGGGTGGGAAAGAGACACAGACAGGTTGAGAAGGGATGCCATCAGTGTTAATGCCCCAAACTAGTATTGCTAGTGAACGATTCACAGTGCCAAACCACAACCAAGGCTCCTAAACAGGATGTTCTTTCTCATTGTATTCAGGGTAAGAGCAAATACGGCATGTTTTACCAAGAATATACCTTGTTGTCATGCGTGATGACTTTGTCAAGGCCTCAAATAATGACTACCTTCCACAGAAAGGAACAGCAGTAGTTATCTTGCTTTGAAGTAGAAAAAAAAATATTAAGTATAGGAAAATTTTTCTACAAATTTCAAACTGCTGCACAATGTGATGGTCTGCCTTTGAAGTTAAAGAAATCAGTAGCACAAAATGGCATGCTATTGCTGGGAAATATTCTGCATGCAGATCAGGCTTTAGTGAACTCCACCAATGTTTGCACATATAGTAAAATGGGCAGCAAAGCTGAATGTTGATCTGGGTTTCAGCCTTCTTCCTGCTGGGAAGAATGCCTCTTTTGTAAGACACTAAACCAAGGCATAAGGAGCTATTTCCTCACTATGCTGAGGAGAACAAAAATAATTCCATCACCATTTATATTAATTGCAATTTTATTTACTCACAATGACATCTTGTATGCTTTGTTAGGTGGAACATATTACAACACAAGAATGTCTTATTACAATGCTAAAAGCACAAAGGAACCATGCTGACAGAGATCATGATGGATACACCCTGCACTGGCAAACAGACTTGAATTTATATGAAAGAGATTTTGATTCAACAGCTGAGCTTTGTCTCAGCAAAAGGAACCTGTATAACTGACTCTTTCAGTTGAGATCCCCTTCCTCACACATTTTAGAAGTTCCCCCTGTCCTAGAGCAGAGTCCTATACCCAGATTATCCTCAAAAAATGTTGGACAGAGTTGCCATTTAACAATCTTCAGTAATGAAGTCTGTCAACCAACTCAAAGTTTAACCTTCTTCACAGAGAGATTTTGCAGTCACTAACTTACAACCCATTGCAACAAAAGCCTATTATTTCTTGTCTTATTGTGAGTGAATGGAAAGTGCAACATCTTCGTCTCTTCTTTGCCACATCTTTTACATATTTGAAGAATGCTGCTGGGTCTTTCCTCAGACTTTTCCAGGCCAATTAATTTCTTTCAGTCTTTCCTCATGGGTTCTGTGTTTTAGATATTTGATGGCATATTATTCCTGACCCCTAAATTTCTCCAGCTGATAAATGGGCTTTTGGGGCAGATGATGCCCCAAAGTAGGCTCTAGATAAATATTTTCGGGTACTAACAGAAGTGGAAACTTTATTTCAAACATCCTATTTTTGATAAACCTGTAATGCATTCCCGTATGATATTTTTTCAAGGCAACAATTTTATTGTTTCATGTTCCACTGATGTTCTACTACAAACTCCAGCTCGTCTTTACAAAACTGTTTTTTGCTTCAGACAGTTTTGCAAGTGCTTGGTGTTTCACAATAGTAGCATTTAGACTTTCCTAACTTCTAAAACTACTGTTGTTAAGCCATTTGTCCCAGTGATAAAGATCTTATTGAATCCTAAGCTTATCTTCCCATGTACCTGCAGCTCCTCCCAGCTGCATAAAGTTTATCCCATTGGTGGATCTTTATGCTCTGATAATGAGTCATTAATATCTATTTTACTGCTCTACACAAAAGCTTTTATCATGGCATAGGCAGAAATCATGCCTGACAAATCCATGTTCCAATGTCTTATTCAATCTTCTACCAGATAACAGCAAGGGAATGATTTAGTGAGTTTGTTGCTCTGTATCTGTGCATACCTGTGTGGGTAAGTGTATGGACTGTTTTTATTTGTGCTGGACATATTGTGGAAGCTATTTAAACTGTATATTAAAATCTCAGTCCTTGGAAAGGATGCAATACCTAGGGCAGGGACATGACGAACTGTAAGCAGACATTACACTAATGATGCAACATACAGTAGGTTTGAAATCTTTACCACACAATAATTATAAAATATTTTTTCTGGCACCTGTTGCAATCAACAATGCTTGATTAAACTGTTCTGCTTCCTGTGAACATGACACAGTTGTCACCTTTATCTTTCAATTGGATTTGGGAATAGAGCAGGCAGATGTGAAACAATACTTTGAGTTCGTGACAGTGATAAAACTGGCAGAAAAAGGGAGAAGGTATGTGCAAGGTATGTGACCAATTCTGACACTGACTTCCATAGTAGTACCGGGGGACCAACCATAGCAAAAGCAAGCTATGTTCTCAAAGGTGGAGAGTCTGAGATGCGACTTGTTTCCTCAGCTGGACCTGCTGATTAAAGCTTAATGCATTTCCAAACCTAGCTTATTAGGACTTTTTGGTGGCTATGAACGTTTATATAGAAAATACATGGGTCAGAGCTGAGCCAGCTTTACAGAAGAGAAATATATTCTGTAAAAGTTGGGTTGGTCAGATGGGGAAAAAAGTACAGGTATCTTCTGAATTATGTTGAAGATCATTACCATTAGTCTTAGCTCATTAAGCTTCAAATAGTTACCATTACTCTTGCCACTGTCTACAAACAGGTTCAAATGACTGTGGAAGTAATAAGATTGTGAAAATCCAAATAAAACTGTAAATAACAGTCAGGGTAGTGGCCGTCCTGAATATCAGAACAGGTGACCAAAAATATAGTGCAATTCTTTTGAGTGTGATTTTGTTGCCTAGTAAAACCCATTAGCTGAATTTGCAGGGGAGGGGACTATAATTAGGGGGAAAAAACAGATTCATTTTCACCTAGTTGGTAGTAAAATGCTCTCAGGTTTTGCTTACTGCTGCAGTACACTTTTTACAAAATAAAGCAGCTTTTAACAGAGTTTCTATTTTGAATTGAACTTCCATGGTACAGGAGTGCTCTTCTCTGTATGGACCATATAATTTGTCTTTTATATACTTCCTGTCAGATACAAAATAACACAGTGCATTGGCTCATGATGACTGTAAACAAATGAAGGATTTTTTATCTTTGTCTAGAAAACTTTTAATAAAAGTACTTCTATATCCAGAAATCATAAATACAGATTTATACTTCTGACTTCCTTTCAAATCCGCCCTTCTCCCACAGTAGTTAGGGTTTTTTCTCTAGATGCATCTATGAGTTAATAGTGAAGTTTGCTTCCCCTCCTTTTCTTCCCCTTCTGACAAACATGTTTGTAGTTCTGGTTTCAAGGTTTGGATGAGTGTTTAACCTGATTAGGTCAATGGTGGTTTTTTCCGGTGATTTCAGTCAAGCTATAACTCCAGCCAGTCCCACTCCTACACCTCCCACTTCTGGTAGCACATTATTAATGACATTTTATATTCTGACTTTACTGGACACTGAACAGTGAGGAATCAGCCTCATGAGGAAATAGTAATGACCTCAGATTTGCAGCTTCAGTTTTCAACACTCTTGAAATCTTCATTCTGAGGAAACCCCAGGAACCAAGTACCAAAAATGCAGACACTACTAGTGCATTTCCAGAAGGAACAAAGACAATTTCAACACAGCATTGTATTTTAATCTATAAGAAATCCATTTGTAGAAGGTCAGCTATGCAATGTAGCATATGCAGAAATAGGTGCAATTCCCATGTTCCTATAAAGTATCTGAATTTTTTTCCCCCATATAAAGCAGCTATTCAGTCAAATTAAATATACACAGAAAATAAATCTGAGAGACAGTAAATATGTCCTGGTAGAGCTATTATTGCCTGATGCTGCAGTCCTGGATCAAAGCCCTCTCTTGGCTACTTCCAGACACTTTTCCCAGTTCTATCTTTTTACCCCGTGTGATGATCTGGTTGCCAAACTGCTAGTTGAAGATAACTTCATCATGTTAGTGTTAATGGTTTTGGTGTGTCTCATTTCAAGTTCCAGCTAAATTCAAAGGCAGGCTGGGAAAACAAACTCTCTTCTCTATAGAGCTGGTGAAGTAATTTATCACTGGCCTTTTCCAGCCGCAATTCTGCTAGCACAAGGCTGTCTTACGCAGCATATTTTATTTCATGTAGAGCACATATGTGGACCTTCCACTATGAGTTCACGAAACTTCAGTATAACAGGCAATGTAACCAACTGAAAAAACAACCTGCAGCAGAAGGCTAAAATCCTTTCACTAGCCCTTGGCTATTAAATGTAGTATTGGTGCATACATTTTCCATTGTAGTAAAACAGATTTTCATTAGACACATTAGGTAACACACAGCATGTACAAGTAATACAGAAAACACATGCGCATATACGTGCTTTAATTATAATTTCAGAAAAAAATAAAAATCTTGTTACAAAAGAAATGTAATACTAGAGCACTGGCACTAGATAGTTCATTCTCTTCGTACTTGTGTATGGAACAATGCAGGAACTCTATCAAGCACAAACCTGATATGTGCCAAACTTTGTTCTTTGGAGTTGAATTAAGGATGTTTTCACCCTCCAAGTTTCCAGTCCAGCTCATTATGAATGACTATCTTTTTGTTCATGCTTCTGAGGATGGTGTTTTCATGGTTTCTTTGCTCCCCTCTTAGATGACAGATTTCGATCTGCAGACAAGTTGCAACACTGGATGTAGCTCACAAGCAACGGAAGCCTGTTCATGCTCCGCTTCCAGTGCACAGTGAGGGGCCATGGGCCTTAATTCATGCAGCTTTGTTTACTCCAACAGTGACAAATTTAAACATACAGTAAAAGATGAATGCAAAGAGAGAAGGTGAGATAGTGATTATTCATTTTAGGGAAAAGCCAGTAATTAAAGCTCAGGAGGAGAGACAGCCAGCTTTCTAGAAGTGGGTTCAATAAGCACACACTTGGGAGATAAAACTGTGTTGCCGTATGTGCTGGTGTAGATGTCTATGACAGATATAAAATATGTTTTGAGACAAGACCAGACCGACTCATATAGTTCTTCAAATTAGTAATATACAATTTACAGCTCAACAATGTGAACTTTAAGAAAAATATCAAGTTCCTCCTCATTTCTGATTGGTTCACTTCGCTATTTTAGCTCTGCAAGTTGTCTCTAATTTATGCTAGACCAACTGTAAGAAAAGGAATGGCGTTTTAATCTCACAATGTGGAATGTCAGAGATTAGAGTGGTTTGCTTGACTCATTTGAAAGGTACATCAGATAGGGAAAAGGTTTTATGAAGCAAAGCTGTGCAGGTTGGATAGGAAAAAGGGGTCCATGGAAGGAGCACTCCATATCATGCTGTAAGTTGAAGCATTTCTTTTGGATAACAAACAGAAATGAAGCAAGGCAATTTTTCTCTGTTTTTACTGAAAAAAAACCCTTCTGAAAGGTACACAGCTAAGTGAGGCACAGTCAGGTGGTAAAAAGTCTCTTCATCGAGTACAGTCTACTGTACTGAGGTTCTTCACAAAGTATTAGGGGAGAACAAGAGAAGGAGGAAGACAGTTGCACTGCCTCCACCTTCTCAGAAGTGACAGTCCTTTTTTTCACCTGATCTAGAGAATGAAAAATGAATTTTGTTCCTCCCACTGCTGCAGCATCTGTGACTGTGGGGAGGCAGCACTGGTCCAATGACATTCACAAGCAGTTGAGACTGGCCATCTCCAACCCTGTAGGAGATGCTTCTCAGTGCAGGCAGGAAGATGAAAAGATAAAAAGATAAAAGCCATTGCTGGTTGCCCAGCAGAACTGATAGCATGCATTGCCATGGAGTGCCTGTGTTCCTAGGCCATTTCCTTGCTCTCTGGATTACTTAGAGAGGATATCTACTATAAACACAATTACCCCTTGTCTTATTCCTTTTCACAAGCTGTAATGTCCCACAAAAACCTTTTACCCCACTTTTAGCCAAAACCCTTTGTTATTGGCTTCCCTCTGAGCTGACATAGTGGTTTTGTGATTCCTGGCTCTCCTTTGGGCATTAGAGTCTTCTCTGGTCCTTTTCACTCCCACTTTTTGAAAAGTGACTCTGTCCCAACAAGAGGGCCAACAGCAGGCATACTTGGAAAGGCTGCTGCCAGAAGGTTCCTCTATTTCTGAATGCAGGAACACTGAACTAGCTCATGATATTTAAAACCTGCATCAGTAGCAGCTTCCCAGGGAGGCCATAATTCTTTAAACACAAATGAACATTCATTTTTATGCTTTTCCTTGAGTGTGGAAAATATTGCTTATTGTTCTCTGACACCTAAGAAAGTTTAAGGGAAGTGGGGAGCTAGGACATCCTGAAACTGGGGAGTTATTTCAAAACTGTTGTTTTCCTGGATTCTTTCATGCAAATTTTTATCACTAGGTAACACAACTCAGCCAGATTCAACATCATGCAGATCCCAGACACAGCAAGCATGAAAATAGTAAATGTGGTTTTCTCAGTGGGCCGAGACACAAAACAATCCACTACATTGGGGCAGGGCCAAGCATCGCACTTCACCAAGCGGGGCATCTGATACCCATCGTACATGTAATAGAACACATACATGAAGACAGCTTCAAAGATGATCCTGAAGAAGATGCTGCTGGTGTACGTCCACCACAGGGGTCCCCGGATGTGAATCGTTTCATTTTTTAGCTCTTCAATATCAATTTTCTCACCATTTCTGAATCGCCGTTTCTTCTCATGCCTGGTGTAGGCCACGTGCATGGCCACCAGCAGCGCAGGTGTGGAGACAAAGATCAGCTGCAGGGCCCAGAGTCTGATGTGAGAGATGGGGAAAAAGTGGTCATAGCATACATTTCTGCAGCCAGGCTGAAGTGTGTTGCAGACAAAATCTTGTTGTTCATCTCCCCAGACTCTCTCTGCAGCCACAACCAGGATCATGATACGGAAGATGAACAGGACTGTGAGCCATATCTTCCCGATACTGGTGGAGTGCTTATTTACACCTCCTAAAACAGTCTGCAGAGTTCCCCAGTCCATCTTCTTTTCTGTGTTCTTTTACCTACAGGATGACACAATACACAGAATGGTCACTTTTCCAAGTGTGAAAAATCAGTTCTAGACCTGTGAAAAAGAGGACTTCCTAGCAGTCTCTCCAGAGCAATAGGCAAGTGTAAGTCACTTTGATTAATGTCCACATGTTTATGGATTCAAAAAGCTTATTAAACTCTCTCCTTCCATGAATTTATGATGGGACAAGGATACCTTGATGTATTTCTCAACGAGGCTTTGGGCACAAAATAAGTTACTTCTTAATACAATTCCTCTGTGCATTCTCTAGGCCCTCCATCTCTTTCTTATTTCCCTTTCTGTGGTTGACTCTTGTCAGTGTTTTGCCTTTCACTGTATTTCCCAAAGCAATAGAAATTACTATCACTGCATGAGTTAAGCCATATTTAGACAAGGTAGAGACTTCTCTAGTACTTTTTACAGGATTTCTTTGCCAACACCACAGCCCTAGAAGGCTGAGTTGGTGTTTTCTTTGCCTCTGAGGTAAGTACTACTTGGCCACCTTCAGCAGAAGTCCTCATTCCACCCAGACACCTCCAGCAGGCCTCCAAGGCCTTCTGCTGCAGCTCAGACATCACCCTTAATCTCAAAATTACAACATTTGATTTTGCCAACACTGGTGAGAAGCCTCAAGTCAGCTCTGTCAGGGTTGCATGCTTATATAGCACAAACCAGCAGGCAAAGAAAGATACAGCAGAGCCTGCCCTTCCACATTCATTGCTATCTCATCCAAAAAAGAGAAAAGCAGAGTCAGAGTTGAGAGGAAAAAGCCGTCAGCTAAAGAGTTTGTGTTGATTTTCTAGATGCTATTACACCCCAGCAGAATACAGGAGGTCAAACCTCAGAGAAGATCCATTTCAGCTTTCCTCCTATTCTGAAAGACTAAAATCCACACTCTTTGCTCCTTTGAAAGTAAGTTCTGCTGAAGTCAGAATTCATTCTCGGGGCTAAGCTTTCACTGATTGCAGCCACTTGGACACTATCAGTGAATTGGACAAAATACTTTGAAACCCGAGCTGGGAACCTGCATAGCTGGTCCATCATCTCTCAAGGCTGGGCTCAGCTGTGCAATGTGGGAGAGCCACACTGGCCATGGATAAGAGCTGCGTCTCTTCTTGGTGCTAGCTGTGTGTTGTGGGGAGAATGTGGTACCCTGAAACGTAACACTGGCCAAAGTTTACAAAAATCTCTCAAACAACAGAGAGGAAAAAAAATAACTTTTTACGCTGGTGTAGGTACAACACAACCAAAGGACTAACATGTCCCAACACATACCCTTGCTATGAGGACCTAGCTTGTGCTGACAAGCCTTGAGGCAAGAGGGAGAGGTCAGATTTACTGTGATACAGAAAGGTGAAATTGGGTAAGACAAGAAAAAAAACAAACCAACAACTTTGAGAAGATGGCTGGAATTCCTGAGACTTCTTATGCTTTGTCTCTGCTGAAACTGGCACCATATTATGCAACTTTTTACATTGACCTAAACTGTAGGCTATCATCAGATACCTGCATCTTTCTCTTAAGAATTTCCTCATGCCTGTTGCACAGTCATTAAAATAAAGTCAGTGAAACCTTCACAAGGGGCTAATCAGGATTGAAGGAAAGTATTTGAAGTGTATATCACTGAGAGATGAACAGCCTGGGCTCCAAGTGCCGTCTCCCACTGCAGTTCTGAACCAGTGCTGCAAGTTTTGGGGGAAAAAACAGTTTCTCCTTGCTCATCTGCCACTACAGAAACACCGAAGTTGGCTGTGGGGAGAGAGTGAATCTACCGGGACACCCAACTTGCCAAAGCCAAGACATCGTTATTGAAAACAACTCTAAATTCCCACTCCGGGGGTACCAGTTGGACCCCACCCCGTCCCTCCCTCCCTCCCACCGCGTTCCCGCGCGGCTGGAGCGGACGTGGAGCCTACAGCGAGCCTTCAGCGGCGGGAAGCGGCGCGACTACCATCGGCTCCTGTCATCGGGCACCGCTGGCAAACAGCGCGTTTGGCTCTGAGGTCCGACGGCTCTCCCCGGAACGCCGGCTGCTGTCATCGCCCACGACCCGCATCCCCGCAGTCCGGGCCGGTCCCGGGGCTGGGGGCTCACAGCCGGCGCCCAGGCACGGCTGCCTCCCTGGCAGCTCCGGAGCAGCGGGGACTCGGGGCCGCGGCGTGGCTGCCCCAGCCCCGTAGTGCCCTCTCCGCTGCCGGCGGCCGCCCCGAGCCCAGTCCCGCCGGGACGGCCCCGACCCGAGCCCCTCTCTGGCACACCACACGAATCCCGACCCACTCGGCGGGCGCACAGCCTAATCCCGATCCCACCGGTGCGGCACGCGGGAGCCTCTCTGGACGCTCACCTGGCAGGGCTCGGCAGGACACGCGGAACACGACGGGCGCGCCGCGCTGCTCCGCTCCCGCGTCCCTCGGTGCCCGCGGACCGGCCGCTCCAAGTCTCGCCGCCCCGCAGCTTTAAGGTCCCTCCCCGCTCACCTGCCGCCGCTTTTAACCCGCCTCCGCCCGCGCCCCGCTCCTGCGGCCGCCCGGAGTCGGTGGGATGGACGCCCAGGACGGGGCGGGGCCGAACCAAGGGGCTGAGCGGCTCAGCGGGAGCCGCCGGCGTTGGGTTCTGCCGTGCCCGAGGGGCGGGAGCTGCTGGGCATGCAGCGGGTCTGGGGACGGGGCCTCTCGCGGGAAGCGCCCTGGGGTCCGCCCGGGACGTCCATGCACACAGGGCGCGCATCGGGCGGAGGGAGTTGGTACACTGCAAATTCAGCCCTGCGCCGGGATCGATTCCCAAGTGTTGGCAGAAAACATGTCCCGGAGGGAAATCAGCCCCGTGGGACCCTCCGAAACTGCTCCAGTGCCATGGCAGCCCGAGAAAATCGTCACCGTGGACCAGTTCGGGCAACGGTCAGATAAAATGCAGCTCCCACAGACTTTCTGTAGGGTGAGGCAGGAAAAAGAAAGCTGAGACCTTCTTAGAAGGCCTGAGTTTGGAAGACAAGGAACAGATAAAATAACTGCTGAATTGACAGTAAAAAAGTTGATCTTGGTCGCCAGATGTAGGGGTAACAAGGGCAGCAGGCAGCTAGAGGCAGGATAGCAGTAAGATGATGCTTTTCCGTTTGAGATCTTGTGGGCTTTTTACAGCTGCAGGAAACCTTTCTGGTATCCTCATTTGTGTGCGCAGCCTTGATTTCACTGATACTGCACAAAGGGAGTGGGGTAAAAGTTTTTGTGAAAGTAATCTAGCAGGAAGTATAGAGTGACTCAGTGTTACTTGCTGTGTGAAGATCTGTCACTAGGTGTTATTTGTCTGGAGCTTGAGCTCTGTTGTTGACAATAAAAAAAAAAAAAAAAGCTTCTTCTAATTATAGTACCCTTTAAACCCCATCTTTAAGAAAAGTTTCTGAGGACGAGGACGGTGGCCTGCCAGGCATGAATTAGCTAGATCAGCACTGCAGCCCTTATCTTGGGCTTTGCTTGTAAAGTATACCCAGCGTTTCTGTCAAGATCAGGTCTGCACTTCACCCAAAGCATCCAATCAAGAGTGACTTCTATTAAATGATGCTTGATTAGAACATAGTAAAGAACCTTTGCTTTTTAAAGCACTGATGAAAAAAAAACCTATCAGAAAAGAATGCTGTGTTAAAGAGGGTGTGTAGGAAAGATAATAAAAAATTGTCTGAGTATATAAAGTACTGCCGTGTTTGTTTCTGTATATTGAAGTAAAGATCTCTATGTTACGCTTAGTACTGAGCTTGGTTTTGTGATGCCTGTCTGGAAGTAGAAATGCTTTCATAAGATGGGATTTAAATAAAATTTAAGCTTGATCTAGTAATTATGAGAAATTAGAACTTGCGTATCAGCAAAATGACAGAGTTAATTTGGTTTTGCTCTCAGAGGTTTAGAAAATTAAGTTGGATTTCATGCAATATCCTGAGTTGGAAGGGACCCACAGGGATCACTGAGTCCAACTCCCCTTCTCTGCACAGGACAACTCCAAAAATCACACCATGTGTCTGAGAACATTGTCCAAACACTTATTGAACTCTGTCAGGCTTGGTGCCATGACCACTTCCATGGAGAGCCTGTTCCAGTGCCCAACTACCCTCTGGGTGAAGAACCTTTTTCTAATATCCAACCTAAACCTCCCCTGACACAACTTCAGGCCATTCCCTTGGCTCCTGTCACTGGTCACCAGAGAGAAGAGATCAGTGCCTGTCCCTCTTCTTCCCCTCATAAGGAAGTTGTAGACTGCAATGAGGTCTCCCGTCAATCTCCTCTTCTCCAGGCTAAACAGACCAAGTGACCTCAACTGCTTCTCATACGGCTTTCCCCTCAAGGCTTTTCACCATCTTTGTTGCCCTCCTTTGGTCACTTTCTACTAGCTTAATATCTTTCTTATGTTGTGGCACCCGAAACTGCACACAATATTCAGGGTGAGGCTGCACCAGTGCAGAGCAGAGCGAGACAATCTCCTCCCTCAACCGGCTGGCGATGCTTTGCCTGATGCCCCCCGGGACAGGGTTGGCCCTCCTGGCTGCCAGGGCACTGCTCACTTGTATTCAACTTGCCATCGACCAGGACCCTTTCTATGGCACTACTTTCCAGCATCTCATTCCCCATTCTGTCTGTACATCCAGGGTTGCCCCATCCCAGGTACAGAATCCGGCACTTTCCCTCATTGAACTTCATATGGTTGGTGATTGCCCAGTCCTCTAATTTGTCGAGGTCTCTCTGCAGGGCCTCCCTACCTTCAAGGGAGTCAGCAGCTCCTCCCAGTTTTGTGTTGTCAGCAGACTTACTCAGTGTACCTTCAAGTCCTGTATGCAAGTCATTTATGAAGGTGTTGAAGAGCACAGGGCCTAAGAAGGAGCCCTGTGGAACCCCACTACTGACGGATCCCCAGCCAAACCTTATTCCATTCACTATAACCCTTTGTGCCCGACCCATGAGCCAGTTGCTCACTCATCATGGCTA